TAAAACCAAATTAGCAAAAGACACTGTCCAACTCTGATAGTAGCGCTAGATATTTTATACCTTACATAGAGGTAATAATATTAGGTTTAAGTTAAAAATACAATTTATATTAAAAAAAAACTGTTTATAAAAAAAATAGATTTGAATCTTGTATAAATTTATAATGCTTTATATTTAATAATAAAATAAAAATAATAAAATTTAAACTCATCACTTACTCAACAATATTCTAATACTATATAAAAAATACATATTAAATTAAAAGTTATCATGTGAGATTTTATCCAAGTTTAGATCTCAACTGGTAGGCAACATTGGAGATATTAAATTAAAACAATAAAATTTAATATTGTTTTTTTCAAATTATCATTTTGGATAAAATTTATTGATGTCATTTAATTTTTGTATTGTAATCAACTTTTTAAATTATAAATTTTTATTTTTTTTATCTCTCATTAATTCAGTTTGGTCATAAAGTTTATTTTCTTTATATTTTTAGTTAATGGTTTAAGAAATGAGATAGAAAATAGATAGATTTTTATGGTAGAAAAATAAAATATCAGTTAATACTAATAACAATCATAAAAAAATATTAATTTTAATGTTAATAAATTTTATTTAATGAAACAAATCCCACTTAAGAGTTTTTTTGCTTTTCTATCACCTGAGATGTCATATTCGAATAAAGAAAGTTTTTTAGTTTTAGTTTGATTTAGAATTTTTGAATTGATTTTGAAGTTGTTTAAGGTTATATGCGCGTTTGAGTTATTTTTAAATTAAAAAAAAATAGATTAAAATGAGTGTTTAGATAAAAGCATTATCGCTCCTGATTTTCTATTCACCGACGTTGTTGGAATCTGGAAAGAGGTAAGCAACTTGTCGTTTGACAACGGACATCACATCTTCTTCTTATTTTGTTTTCAAAAAATTCTTAGTTTTAAGGAAAAAATAGACAGCCAAGGCGAACAGGCCTAGGCTGAAAAGCGTGCTCTCCTAGGCTTTTTAATGTCCATGCACGTGCTCTTGGTCCTTTCTTTTTTGTTTCATTGGTTTTGTTTTTTTGTTTTTAATTAATTTTATTATTTAATATTAATTTTTTAAACAATTTTTTATGATGTTTTTTAATATAATATAATTGATTTTTTACTTATCCTACATAGAAGATTTCAATGTTTTTTTTTTATATAATATCAAGCAACGTTCTTTTTATATAGCTCTACTTAATTTTATTTTTTTAATTTTATTTAATCACTTTCTTAAATATGTTTTATTGTATTATTGTTTTATTGAATAAGATATCAGTTCCCTTATAAACATTATTAGATACATGGTATATATTAAATTTTTTAATTTACATTTGCTTCTTGATTTTTTTTAAATTAGTTTTTTATTTATTGTAAATAATTTTTTATTTATTTATTAGAAAATGTGGTTTTTTATTTATTGAATTAAATACATACATTAGTTTTTTAATTTACAATTAAGATTTTTATGTCAAAAAATATTTTAGAAAAGTTTATATATTTATTTTTTTGTGTTACAGATAAAATTTATTGGATTTACAGTGAACAGTATTGACAAACGGTGCTTTAATAGCTGTTTGGCTTTGAATGAAACTGAGTTTGGTGAAGCAGTACCGCATAAATTGTGCTTTAATAGCTGTTTGGTTTTGAATAAAACTGAGTTTGGTGAAGAAGTACCGAATAAAT